TGGCTAACCACCAAGTTAGGCCACTTGTGGCAGCATTGGCCTGGGTATTTATTTATGTTTATGAGATGTAAAAGGCATTCTCTCCGTGTGGATGACAACATTCCCACATTCCTTTTTTAGTTTATTGGAAAGCCATCCATACTCAGTCTTTTTTTTTTTTCAGGAAAACAATGCAGTTTGAAAAGGAACAAGTAAGTGTTCTAAGCATTTCTTGTCTGGAAAAATGGTCCAGACAAGTGGTTACTAATCTGTGGCAGCACCCTATTATTTTAAAAGCTCATAATACAGTATGAATTTGTAGTCCCTTGGTCCAACCTTTTCCGTAGAGCTGGTTTAGGAATTATAATCAAGCAAAGAGGAGAAAGTGAATGTCTGGAGAATAGAAAACTTAAGAGGTCACCCCTTAAAGGGAGCCAGGCTGGGTGGGGGCTACTGCTGGTTTGTCTTCACACTGTCCTGGGTGCCTCTTATAAAATGGGTGATGAGGTAGGCACTCAATTACTGTTTCTGGTGAAGTTTTTTTTTTTTTTTTTTTTTTTTTAAGATTTAACAAATTTATCATTTAATAAGTTTGAATTCATTTTCATCACATGGTATTATACATAGTCATCTGTTGAAACATTTTAACAGATCTTAGTTTTTAAAAAATGATCAATACTGTGTAAACTGGTGGATAGCAAGTTAGTTTCTTCTTTTGACTTAGAAGCCTCAACTTTACCACTGAAGGCAGAGTATAGGCCAGAGACACCATAATTCCTCTCTTTAGAACAGAATCATTTCTGTAACTTGAAGCTTTCTGAATGGATGGGTTCAGGCCTGATTCAGCTGTAAAAAGATTACTTTGGACTGTGGAAATTGTACAAAATTTTAATTGACTTTAATAATTAATAGCTGAACAGCACTACATTACTAATTGCTATTCAAAATCAAAAACCTGTTCCTGAAACCCCAAGGAGGGTGGAACTTGTGAGTCGGGGAAAGGGCAGGAATGTCCCAATTAAAAATAATATTAAAAAAAACTATCTAATCCTGTCACATTAACACAGCCTTTAAAATTTTGGTGTTTTTTATTCACAAGTACACACGTGGTTTTGTATTGTTGCATTTTTGCCTTGGGTGTCTGTAGGGATTCTCTTCTTTTTTTAATAAATTATTTTGTAACACATTCCTGTGTTTTTACATTTATCTTTATCTTTTTTTTTTAATTGCAGTAGTTGGGATCAAATCAGGAGCTTGCTCATGTTAAGCACGCACTCTATCACTGAGCTCTATCCCTAGTCCTTTTGTTTATTGGTATGGTATTTTTAAAGATGCAGTATTCATACCTATCTCACTTCTATCTCATTACCAGCTTTTTATATTGAAAACAGCTTCTAGATGTTATTTCCTGGGAAGTAGCTCATGTTTCCCACTGAAAGTTTACTAGGCTTTCTCCAGGTCACCAGAGCATAGTTACTTCACTCTGGTTAGGCTTTTTCTTCTGGACAAGATGAGAAACCAGGCTGGTTCATTTGAAACCCAATACCCCTTCCCCTTCAAATACCTAACAGATAATCAGCTGCTTAACAATATGGTTGAAATGAATTGTGACATTATGAATTAGGCTTTTAAAGCAAAATTGTCTGGTTGATTTGTTAGGAATATTACAAGAGGGGAAACAAGAAAGTATTACAAGAGGGCTTTGGGAGACCTTGGATCTACAGATCCTGGTAAGTAAACTTCAGTTACAGACATGAGTATTGACTTGTGCAGCCTGGCCTATTAATATGAACAGATACTACACTTCATCTTAGCCAAAAGGCAAAGAAGCAGTCATGGCCCTCTTTTAGAATAAAACCTGAATCTTAAGCACAAGGTCCTGGGTTCAATCCCCAGTAACACCCCCCACCAAGAAGAATTTTTTTTGGTGGTAGTAGGTAGGATTTGAACTCAGGGCCTCACATTTGCTAGACAGACACTCTACCACTTGAGCCACTCCACCAGCCCCAAAAGAAAAAAGACAACAAGATTTCTCTTACATTGAATGTATTAAGTTAATGTTAAATAATTAACTTGCCTAATAAAGCCTTGTCAGTTGTCTAATTATGTTTACAGTAATTTTTTTTTCTTGGTTCCTTTTAAAGATCTTTGCATGGATAATATCAAAGAAGAGTGAACCATCCCTTGGGATAGACCTGAGAACTGTGGGCAGATCCATTGATGAGCCATGAAAATACTGCAGGGACAGTCAGCAGAGCTGTTTATAGCTAAACATGTATGCACCAGGCTGGCCATTAATGAAGAGAAGAATATGAGGAACTTTTTGAGATTGTATTTAAAGCACTCTGGACAGATTTGTATTCTGAATCAATGTGTAAATTGTTCAGAGATGGTAGCGAACATGACTGGTTTTTGAGCATGCTTTAATTTTGTGTTAATCATTAGTTCCAGAAAAGAGAACTATTGAAAGGTACTTTGTTGAGACCTGCTGTTTTCAAAATACATGTAAATAATACAAGGAAGTTTCTTTTATTATCTCAGGTCAAGCATGCATATGTGTAATTTAGAGCTATGAACCAGTTACAGTGGAGGAGACAGTACAGTTCTCTCATTATAAAAGAATAACATGATACACATTTGAAATAAGGAGGAAATAGGATAATTTGAAGAAGAAAATGAAATCCTTCTGTATTCCAGCTGCAGTTGAACTCAGTAATTTGTCAGAATTGGACTTACACTTTTAGATATTTCACTCAGGAAATACTGAGTGCCCATTTTGTGATGGAAAGAAGGGAGGCTTTGGGGGATAGATAGGGTTGGAAAGACAGCTGAATATCCTAAGCTGATTTGAGCAGCAAAGGGAGGTACTGGATGATGGGGAAAGTTGTCCTTTAAGAATATTATGACAGTATAAAAACATCTTCTATCTATCCCAAGGTCTGATAAACAGAAGCGTTTGCATTGAGGAGCCCCAGCAACAACAAGGGGGCAGGGTATCCCCCTTTTGTGAAAATATCCATGATTTATTTTACTCCTCCACTATGACCGAACATTGTCATTTTAAATTTTTTCTTATAAATGCTATTCTTGTCAATCTTTGGTCACATCCATGGTTATTTCCTTAGGAGACTAACATGGGACAAGGAAATTACAAAGGATATAACATAGATAATATGGATTCATATTGCCAGTTCACTCCTTCTTTCAAGCAGTATCTGAAAGTGGCAGCACCCTTGCCTGGATTGTGTATTACATTTTATTTTTACCATAATTATAGGTGAAAAGTGATATACTACTTTAACATGCATTTCTCTGATATTAATGAACTTAATGTGGTTTCCGTGTTTTGTCATATTCTTAAAGTGGTTTTAAACTACTTTTTCTTCCCAGTTTATGCTTTTTAAATATCAAGAAAATTAATCTGTTGTCTGTGGCTCATTTGTTGCAAATAACTTCATCCCCTTACTTTCTTTTGTGGTTGTTTTTGATGGCCGGGTTTCTGGGGTATGGGTTTATTTTGTTTTTGTTGTTGGTACTGGGGTTTGAACTCAGGGCTTTGCACATGCTAGGCAGATGTTCTACCCCTTGTGCCACTCCTCCAGCCCAAGCAGGGGATAGTTTTTATGTATGTGATTTCTGTTCTTTTAAAAATATTTTATAAGTCCTTCCTCTTGCTGAAAACAGTTTTTTTCCCCAAGCGGTTAACTAAATTTTCTGACACTATGTGGCCATTTTGCCTGTGCCAATTCATAGTATATGTACATACTATCTTAGGACATTTTAATTTTCAGCTTTTGTGCTGTTTGCCTGTTGTTCACTTTAAAATAAGAAAATTAGCTCCTTCCCTTTTGTCTTATGTTCTGAGAAATTTAACTTTCTAAATCTTTCATGACATTCTTATTTTAGGAGAGAAATGTTGCTCATAGGATAAACAGCAAAGAAGATAGGTGGTGGTAGACCACTTTGCAAAGGTGGGTTACCACATTCCTTTATTTGGTTCTTGATATTATAGATTATGAAAATGCATCTAGCTAGTTCACCCAGAGCTGGACTCTTCCATGTAGTGGCCACTTGTAACAATTCATATCTAAAATTAAGAATTCAGCTTCTTACACTGACCACATTTCAAGTTTTCGATAGTTACATGGTTACCAAATTGAACTGCACAAATAACAGAATTTATTCCTGCCATGGCCTGACATTCTGTTGGACAGTGCTGATCTGGGGCAGGTCAGATTTTGAGGATCAGCAGAACAGAATACAGATTCTTTGATCACATTACCATCTCTGACAGTCTACATAAAGAAAAAAGCTAACACTGAATATCAGGTGTCAACACTGCCCTAAATTCTTCCAAAAGACTTGTTTACAAACAACGCATTCTTAGAGGGAAGATGAAGGAAGAGGCTCACTAATGTCCCAAAAGACTTGTAAGTCTGCCTGGTGAGCAAGGAAATCCTAGCTTCCAACTTTTCTGATATTTAAATAGTAAAGTGATTGTGACACCTCAACCTGGTTTGTTACTAGAGTTAAGCAGTGCTTGGTTGGGGAGGGGACAATGAAAGCTGTCATTGCAGTTGCGTTATCCCCAGGGCAAGCCCTGCCCACGGCTAGTGCCACCTTAAGTGCCCCATGGCAACACGGGGAATTTACTAGGTTGTAGATTTTGACCACTGAAAGATGGGAGCACTGGTCATCCTATTGTCAGCCCAGGATGGGATGGTCCACACGTTGTAGCTGTTTATTTTCATCATCTATCCCGATTTCTAATGGATTGATTTTAAAGGCGATCATTAACTCATGGTGGGGAGACACCGGACTGCCAGGTAGTCGTATCCGTTTGTAGATGAGTTGTAGTCCAATTGCAGCCTGAATTTTGGAAAAACCTAAGGAAGGGTTAGAGTGAAGTGTAGTTGGAAACTCAGGTAGCATTAACAGGGTCTTTATGGACTATCAGGTAGACTGAGGTCCTTGACCACTGTACCGGGAATGTGAGGAGCTGGTTGGGAGGAATGGCAGTTAACCATATCCGCCTTAGGGCCTGTGGAGTTGCCAGACTTGCTGACCCCGCGTGGAGTAGGCGGGATGCTGGTCCGCGGCGCGCTGCCCCGCCCTCGGCTCCTGACCCGTGTCCCGCCCCCTCGGCCGCGAGTACCTCCAGCTGATTGGCCCCTTTGCGGCGTATCCTCGAGCTGGCAGTCGGACCCGCGCGTCACGTGGCCAATCGGCGTCCCGGGCGCCGAGCCGCGGACACCCGGGCATGGACCCTCAGGCGGCCGGGGCCCAGGCTCTGGGGGCCGCGGGGCCGTCTCGGAGTCCCCCGCTTTCCAGCGCGCTGGAAGCTTCCGCCGGCCCGGAGGTGAGCGCGGCGCGGGCAGGCGGGGCGCGGCCACCACCGCGGCCCGGGGCGGGAGGTGACGGGCGGCTGGAGCCGCGGTGCCAGGGCAGCGCCGGGGCTGGGCGAGGACGCGAAGCGCATGCTTGGGCAGGTAACGGCCGGCGGAGCTGCTGCGGGGCAGGGATCCTCTAGGACGTGGGTGGCGCGCAGGCGGGTAGGGAAGGCACTGGCGGATGGGAGATGACGGCAGAGAGCTGGGGCCTGGGCAAGGGCTAGGTGAGGACGGGGAGGAGAGGGGCTTTGCTTTGAGGACCTCTGGCCATTGGTGGGGATGGTCAGCTAATCCTGAACGCCAGGTGTTACATGTGCGCTCTCATCTATTTAATGAAATCTAAAGGCCTCGTTTGACGCAGGGTATCCAGCAAGTTGTTTCCGTGTGCGCACCTGACAGCGCCTAATTTTTCCAAAAGCATTATTATAGTCATCATCTACCCATGATTTATGGTCGATCAGTGTTTAGGCAGTGAGCTCCTTAACGCTAGGAACCCTCCGCTTAGGGCTGTCTACACGGTCCCTGGCACAATACATGCACTTACTGAGTGGATGGATGGAATGCTTAAAACATCAGAAATGGTACTTGCCCCAAGATAAAAATGTAGTCATACACTTGCAAAGAAATTTACTTTGGGATGCAGAATAGGATTAGACTAATTTTTTCAGGGCAGAACAGGAAAGCATGTGAGAGGGTGGTGGCCCAGCAAAGGATGGAGATGAGAATGCAAATGGCTTCGAGCTTGGGTACCCCGGTGGGCAGAGAGCTATGTTTAAGAAGTCGATGGAGGGGGAATGTGAATGTACATGACCTTGTGCTTTGGCAGTGGAGGGCTGCTGAAGATTTTCGCCAGAGTAGTGATTATCCCTTTCTAAGGCTGGGCCAGATAGGTGGTAGGGAGATGGTTAGGAGTTTTAGGTGAGAGGCCAACCCCTTGATGGGAAGTAGTGACCAGTGGTTGTCACTGACTACAGGAGGTGGAACTGAGTCATTATACCCAGGCATGACTAGATGATGAATGTTAACTAGGGCACAAGTTGCAAGTACAATTTAGATGTAGGATAAAGGGTGAATTTAATACTTTATTATTGCATTATTAATTGTACAAAGTACTGGGTTTCATCATGATCTTTTCATACATGCATATAATATAGTTTAATCATACCCCTTCTTAAAACGTGAAGAAATATTACACTCCTGCAACATGCTAGTTGTTTCCATAAATGTTGTGTCATTATAAGCCCTCTGCAGAATCACAACAATCTTCCTCCAGTTTCTAGAGGTCACACCCTGAATGAATGGCAGAGCTAGGATTGAAATCAGATCTAGTCATGCAAGCTGTGAACATTTCTTGTTCCATTGGAAAGAGGTCTCAAAAGTGGTTAGCATTTCAGGAACTAAGTAGTGGGGCTGAGAAATATCTGGTTGGCTATGGGGGGTTAGGAGTGTTTCTTTCAGTGCTTAGTTTTCCAAGGGAACATCAGTGAAGAGACAGAATTTGTTAGAAGGAGTTGTTAACAAGATATAGTCATTAAGTAACTGGAAAAGTAAAAATTGTATATGGAGGCAGCAGCTCTAGGAAACCGCTACCAGCCCAATGGCTGAGGAAACAAAGGGATGAGGTTGGAGTGATTAAAATTTATAAACTTAGAGGAAAGGCTTTGAAGAGCTGAAATTCCAGCTGGGGTCTCTGAGCTTGGAGGAGAGGTCCTTGGATCCAGACTGAAGAGAGGCCCCAGTGATGAGGCTGGCTCTACAAGTATTGGAAAACTGGCAGCCGGCTTCAGTTGCCACTACAGGAAGGCACTCCCACTGCCAGGATGAAGTGTTGCTGAGACGATGCAGACAGCAATGAGAAGGAAAAAGCCTTTCTCCAGCCAAGTATCACAGGGCAAAGCAGAAATGTGGGTTGCTGGGTCCTAGCTCGGTACCATGAAGGGCAGTATGGGAGGGTAAGTTTGAAGCTTCAAGGCATGGGCTTTCTGTTGTGCATGTTGCAGATACCCAAGTTCCTGGCAATTATTTCTTCTTCCACAGGCTGGCTTTACCACATCTGACCACTCTGGTCTAGAGAAAGAGACTGAGACAGCCACGGATCAGCTAGGCAAGTAGATGGCAGAGGTGGGTGGATGTTGGGAGAGGCAGAGAAGAAGAAAGAGGATAGCTTCTGTTTCTTTTGTACCTTTTCTTACTAACCAAGCCTCTTTGCTGCTGAGTTGCCATCTTTTCCCAGTGTTTCAGCTGAATCCTCATTTAGAAAATCTACTGGAGCTTCTTTGAGGGAAGTCCTGAACTTTCCCTATACCTAAACCCACCCTTCCCATTGAGAGAAACAACTTGAAACAGTGAAAAGAGTATATAGGCTTTGGATGGGGCAAATTTTTCTTCATTTCCAAAAGAGAGTCCTGGCCTTGAGTTTTGTCACCTAGCCTTATCTATCTTTAATACTGGGCTGATATTATCTACCTCCTAGGGTTGTTCTAGGGATTGAGTGAGAGAATCTAGAATTTAGTATCTGATACAGTAGCAACTAGCCACAGATAACTATGTAAATTTAAGTTAATTATAATTAAATAAAATGAGAAATTCAGCTCCTTAGTTACACTGGCCACATTTCATGTACTCAGTAAACACACATGGCTGTTAAAACAGCAAGGAGTGTTTCCATCCTTGAAAAAAGTTTTAATGGATAGGGCTTGTCTAGATCAGAGCACCTCACTGTGTGCCAGGAACAGCTCTAAGCATGTCTTTTTCCATTTGTTGTTGTTGTTGTTTCTAAATTAAGTCTCACAACAGCGTGTTCACTTTACAGATGAGGAAACTGAGGCATAGGGTTTTTCAATTGCAGTGAAAGATATACAACATAATCTTTTTGGGGGGCAGTACTGGGGTTTGAGCTCAGAGCCTCATTCTTGCTAGGCAGGTGCTATACCATTTGAGCCACTTGCCAGCCCTGTTTTCTGTTGGGTATTTTCAGTATAGGATCTCGAAAACTATTTGCCAGAGCTGGCTTTGAATTGCAATCCTCCTGATCTCTGCCTCCTGAGTAGCTACGATTACAGGTATGAGTCACTGGCACCCAGCTTTTAAAGGAAGGTTGTTTGTTTTGTTTTGTTTTGTGGTACTGAGGCTTGAGTTCAGGACCTTGTGCCTGCTAGGCAGCCAGTCACTTGAGCCACACCTCCAGTGAGCTTCCAGGGACCCCTAACATAAATTTGCCACTTGACTAAAGCATACAATTAAGTGTCATTTAGCACAATAACACTGTTGTATAACCACCTCCATTATCTAGTTCTAAAACATTTTTGTCACCCCAAAAGGAAACCTTGTACCTATTAAATAGTCACTCTCTCCTTCCTAAACCCACAACCAGTAATCTACTTTCTGTCTCTTATTAACTTACCTGTTATGGATAGGTAATGTGAGTTAAGGATAAATGGACTCATACAGTATGTGATCTCTTGTGTCAGGCTTCTTTCAACTCAATATTTTCTAGGTTCATTCATGTTGCAGCACTTACTCCCTTTTTATGGCTTTTTGTTGATCATTCACCCATTGATGGACATTTGGGATGTGTCTGCCTTTTGGTGATTGTGAAAAGTACTGCTGTAAACATCCTTGTTTGTTTAATCCTGCTTTCAGTTCCTTGGGGTATATTTTAGGAGTGGAATTGCTGGGTCATATGGTAATTCTGTGTTTAAGTTATTGAGGAGTCAGTTAAGTAAATTTCAACTCAGTTATACATTTAGTAACTGGCAGAGCAGATGTGAACCCAGGTAGTCTGGTTCCAGACCCAGTGCCGATAGCTGCTAATATTATGTTACAGTGTTAGTGTCATGGCTGTTTGGGTGCTAACGCCTTCCTCACCTTAGATCTGCTATCACAGTAGCAGTCTATGCTTAGAGGTCCATTATCCTTCCTGGGCTTTCTTCCATTATTGTGAGGTCTTTAGACAATGTTCCTTCCAGCTTCCCCAGTAAAGAATGCTGTGTCTGGACAGTCCCTGCTCTTCTCCAAAAACCACTCCCTCTCTTTGAAACTAAAGGAAGGAATTAGGCAGTAAAATAAAACAGAAGCTTATATTGTGGAAGCATATTTGGCTCAATGACCTGTAAATCCCCTAAAAATGTCAACTGTGCTTTGCTTGCTATGTAAACTACATACAGGACTTGGCAATTAATCTTACTGAAAAAACCTAAACCAAGTAACACGTTGGTAGGTGCTCAGGTAGCTAAAGAGCTTTGTGTGCTTGTTTTACTGCCCTTAGCAAGTTTGCCAGAACTCGCCCAAGCACATGAGCAGGACTTCTCTGGTTTACCCATTGTAAGACCTTCCTTCTGTTGATTTCTCAGCCAGTGGAGCCCAGAACACCCCTAATGACAGTACCCATGGCGGGAACACACATTCTGGAGAAGGCGGCTTTGCTGAGGAGGAGGAGGAGGAAACTGATGGGGAACTGAAGGCCTGGGAGCTGTCAGAAGGAACATGCTGTCCACCTAGGGAGCAGACTGCTGATCTTTTTAACGAGGACTGGGACTTGGAGTTGAAAGCAGATCAAGGGAATCCTTATGGTAGGTGTGGAATTTATGGGCTCCCAAGCTAGAGTTTCTCAGACCATTCTTCCAGACAGTCCCCTACATGCAGTTTGGAAGATGGAGCCACATATATGAGTTCAGCCTCACACTTGTCCCATGTCTGAAATTTCTGTGACAGCTTCTTTTTACATTAATGGAAAAGAAAAATAAACACTTGACTCCATGATGTATCACTTTGTTTTAACATGGGAAAAATGTTACTCCAAATTTTTTGTCTGAATTGAGTAACTGCAGACAGAAGCGCTCTGCTATCCACTGGCTTCCCCTCTACTGCTGAGAACCTTGTCCATGAAGTACAAACATGAATTGTGCAGAATGATCGTATTTGCAATTCATGTGTGTGCACATATATATGACATGTGTTATTAAGCAAAATAAATGTTTATCCCTTAAACATTTTTTGCAGTCCATTTTCACCTTCCCTCCTTTCTTTAATCTGTCTTTTGAAACTGCCTACAGATGCTGATGATATCCAGGGGAGCATTTCTCAAGAGATAAAACCTTGGCTGTGTTGTGCCCCACAAGGAGACATGATCTATGACCCCAGTTGGCACCATCCACCTCCACTGATACCCCATTATTCCAAGATGGTCTTTGAAACAGGGCAGTTTGATGATGCTGAAGATTAAAGGTGCTCTCTCTGCCTGTGGATAGGTAGATCAAGGTCTCTTCCTGTTTTGAGGTGAGATGTCCTGTCAGAGACAGTGTTCCCAGTGGCTCCTGAGTGTGAGTTACACAGATGTTAATGAGGGTCCCTCTCTTCTCCCCAGTTCTGTTGTTGTTAATGCACTTCTTGGAACATGTGCATATTTGTGTCTATGTCAGGAGGAGTTGTGTTCTTTATAAATAAAGATGGGAAAAAATTCAATATGCTTTGCCTGCTTTTCTTGTGTTTGATAGGTGCTTCTGAGCAAGGCCTTACTCCTTCGTTTACAGTCTATGAATTATATTTTAAGTATTGAGGAATTTAGAGACCTGAAACTATTCACAAATAAAAAGAATCTTAGTTTTCTGCTGTATTTCTGGAATTCTTGACCAGGGATTGTAATGCAAGAGACTTTGATAACTTTATGCATGATTTGTATTCCCATTGGTGGAAAACTGAACATTTCATTAGTTTACAAGGGTATCCTGCAGACTGGAAGCTAAATAGCAAATTAAGCCAGGAATTGTATAACCTTTAATTGGCATGGAACTCTGTTTTCCATTTACTCTTTTAATCCTTACAATTATATGAAGCCGTGATTTTTTTTTTTTAATTTACTTCATTTTAGGGATGAGAAATGCAGGACCTTTCCAAGCTCACCTAGTGAGTGTCAGAATGAGGACCTAAATGCACACGGCCCATTCTCTTCACTGGCCCTGCATGTGTGATAGCATAGTAGAGGGATCTATGGCCACAACTTGGCAGGTCTGTTATCCACCAAAGTAAGTGACTTTTACCTCCTTGGCTAAATGATTGTTTCTTAACCTCCCTACCCCTTTTCCCCCAGTTGAAGCTGAATCAAGAAAATGCTTCAGATCTGAGTGAGTGCCGTAGCAATGGGTAAGACAGAACCTTGTAAGGGAAGGTAGCAGATATGATCAAGGCTGTCCTAAGGAAAAGTTCCCTTGTACTGTCCTTGCTAAAGGGGCAGTTGTAGACCTTGTCACCATATCCCTCTTTCTTTCTTCCTCCTCCCAAGGTCATAGCTGATGAGAACACAAGTATGTCTGGAATAAAAAGGTAAACTTGAAAAACTGAGCCAAGGTTTACTTGTTTATTTTTACATACCACTTCAATTTGATTTTTTAATTATCAATTAAAAAATCAATTTAAATAAGTCACACATTTCCTGCTTATTTCTTAACACATAAAATGAAATCCATGAATTTTTCTTGTCTGAAAAAAAAAAATGAAAGAAAAACTGAGCCAAGAAATTGTATGTGCTTATGGGGGGAGGCAAACTGAAACAGGCAAACTGAAGATTTATGTTGGCCCATGTGTAAGCTGGAGCTGTGAGGCAGCTGAAACTATGTATAAAAGCAGAAGTCAGGGAGATCACATTTTGGGGGTGATCACATTTTGGGGGTTCAGAGGAGGGAAGAAAAATATGATGAAAAGCATGTGACTATGAAAATGGGTAGGAGAGAAAGAGTCTATGAGAGTAAGGAGGTAGAAAATAATATTTTCTTTAAAAAAATAAATTACACACATTAAAATGTTTTGTTCTGTAGTGCTGGGGATTGAGCCCAGGGCTTCATGCATACCTGGCAAGTGCTCTACCACCAAGCTGCACCCCAGTCTTAAACTAGTTTTTATGCCTGAAAAGTCAGGTATGTGAGGAGAACAAGGAAAGAGGGGGAAGGGCTTGTCAATTTTTCTGATTTAAATATTGTTCTGGCGTCCCCATCAGGTGACTCACCATAGAAAAAGATGTACAGAGCATCAGGAGAAAAATATCCAGAAATGGACTTGAACTTTTGATTTGTAAACCTCCAATTCAAATGAAGTGCATTTTGTTCTCTAAAAACTAATGCATATATGGCAAGACAAATGAGTGTGTAATGCAAATTGTTTGATGATAAATAAAAATTTTTTAAATTTTGTTTATAGTAGAGTTTAGTGGTAGAGTGTAAATAAGTAAAGATCACGAATTATAATTTTAGGTACTCAATTTAAAAAATTTTAAATTTTATATTTATTTACCTGAATCTCTGAATGCTAAGCTAAGTCTAAATCTCAGAATGGGAAGGAATGTGAATGTTGCTCAGTTTGGTCATATGCTGTCTGCACACCGTCTCAACCTCCTTCAATCACAGGATGCTCACTGCCTTAGAGCAAGCCATTCATTGCTGGCTAGTGCTGTTTGTTAGAAGTCTGCAGTCCACCATATGGCCCAGGTCTGCTCTTTGATCCTGATACTCTTCTTTAACTATTAGAAAGTAGCAATCACATCTCTCTGGCTGTTTGTTTTCTAGGCTAAATAGTCAACAGGCAATAGTATCTAGGTGTATGAAATTGAGACAGGGAAGAAACACTGGAGTAGAAAAATTGGAGACTCTTGCGGTTGTAGCAGGTGTTGTAACCTCATTGGTGGAGGTTAAGATTGCTCAGTGAAGCTGGGCATGAGTGGAAAGAGAGCCGAATATAGTGGGTGGAAGTATCTGATTACAAGGGCAGGCTGCTGCCAGCAAAAGAGGGAACCAAGTGAGCGTAGGTGCAGCTCAAGCCAAAGTCTTAAGGGAGAGGGAAGAGACATCTTTTGTAGAGGCCAAGAAACTGAAGGCTAACAGGCACTCTCAGATGTGAGAATTGAAGAGTTCTCCCAGGATAAAGTGGTTGGGGGTAGGCCTGGTCATTCATGTGGCCACCTGAGCTGCTACCTTTGGCCCTATTGTGTCTCCTGTCTGGGGTGACAGTACTTCTGGCCAGCTTCTGTTACAACATGTGAGCCCAGCTGGGAAGAGGCAGTGTGGGGAGAGAGAAGGAGGGAATGGAGAAAGGGACAAAAGTAGACAGAGGCTGCAGAGAAGTACAGGACTGATAGGAACAAAAACAAAAGAGAAACTTGGGTTTTTTTTGTGGGGGGGGATGTTTATTTTTGTTGGTGGCAGTGGTAGTGTTTTTGTTTTGTTTTTGAGATAGGGTCTCACTTGTGTAGCCTAGGCTGATAATGAACTCAAAATCCTCCTGCTTCTACCTCCTAAGTGCTGGTGTACCACCATGCCCAGCTGAGAAATTTTTATTCTTACATTTTTCAAGCAGTATTATTTCCCAAGGAAGAAACCCCTACTGACTACAGCCCAAACTTGAGTGACAGAATGGAGAGTAAGTACACATTCATCAAGCATGTCTGAGATGTGCACTTGTCTGTTTTCTCTCATTTTTCCCTTTCCTCATGCAAGCAGGCAGTTGGCTCTCTGCTCATTCCTTTAGTGTGGGTATGTGGGAGGATTAAGAACATCAAGAAATCTTTCCTGGCTTTTGTTTAACAAAAGGGATTTATTTTATTCTATTTGTAAGAGGCAAGGGGGCTTTGTGCATGTTGAAGAAATCTGAAGGGAAAGAATTTTCCCTAGTTCAAAAAAAAGAAGTAAAAGTCCCTTGAGAGAAAAATGAAAGATGCTGAGAGCGAACGGAACATGGTCCCTGGGGAGTGAGATTCTCAGTAGAATGCTAGATGTCGGTGCCTCTAGGCAGTTGGGACTATCTTCCCAAAAATGCTCATGGCATGAGCATTTCAAGGACCTGATGGACTGCTAGACGGGAAGAACCTTCAAAGGTAGATATTAGATGACGTGATGCCCACCTGCCTTCTGCCTTGCTGCGCTAGGCCCTGTGACAACTCTGAGGAAGCAAGGAAAACTACAGACAGCAAGATGGAAACGTGAGGTTAGAAACCAGGGTAGCTAGAAAGAATGGCAGTTTTGCTTCTTGAACTCCCAGGATGCAAAAGATGGAAAGTTAGAGAAGCCTGGGTGTGGACAGGTTATTCCGGGCCTGGAGACACAGTTAATACGTTAATACCAAAGTGCTAATACTTATTACTATTTTCTATCTTGATGAAAAACTTGCAGATTTTGTACTGTGATGGAACAAACAGAATTGTGCTAACAATTTTTTTTTCAGAGGGGCAGGTGCTGAGGAAAGTGCTAGGGATTGAGCCCAGAGCCTTGTTCATGCTAAGCATGCATCTACCACTGAGCAACAATCAGCTCTGGTTTTTCACCATTTGTGTAGGTAATTTTATGTTTTTGATGGCTCCCATTTGTTTCTGTTTTATGGCTACCCTCTCATTGGTAAATTTAATGTGCCCTTTCACCCCATCCCTTAGCTTAGTTTGGGACCATGTTCACAGTAGTGCTTTGTCATCATGAGTCCCCAGAAGGCTATGGAAAGTGGTTCTTTTCAGTCTCAGAAGTTGACATGGAGGATACAGAGACCTCTCTTCATGTCCAGAAGCAACTGGCTGGACACAGCCAAGACAAGGAAATCTAAGCCTGCTTCCCTGGGAAATAGAAGCAAACTCATTGGCTAAGCAAATATCTTGGCACTGCACTACCCTTGCTTTTTCCAGAGCTTGCAATCTTCAGCCCAACTTTTCACAGAATAATTGCAATGTGAAGGAAGAAAAAAATTAACCTTAGCTACAGCCCATCTGGATTCTGCCTCCTAGCTCTCCCACAGCAAATTTCCCACCCAAAGAACTGAGAATGATGCGTTTGGGGAGCAGGAGAGGGAGAATGTTATGTGTGTTCAGAGCATGGAGAACCACCAGGTTAGAGGTAGAAGTGACAGGGTGTAACAGAAAGGTAAAAGGCAGGGCTGGCTTTCCCACTTAGCAAGTCTGACTACTGACTACAGAGCCATAATTTTGGAAGGAATGGCCTCCCTGCTTCCAGCAGTTTCTGTTGAGCTGGTTCCTGGACTAAGCTGGATCCTGCATTGTTTATGCATTGTTCAGACAGTTTACTGGGGTTCTAGGGCACCAAGGTTTGGAGAATTCCCCCCAGAATTTGTACTTGCTGGTAGCCTGGGAGTAAAGTATGTCCACAGTTTTTAAAAAATGTATTTCCTTCCTCCACGCGGTCCTTCTCCCCTTTGAGTCAGAGAGAAATTATTTGAAGAGGCATGCTTCCATTCTCTGACCATTGCAAAGTAACTTTTATTTCTGATAAGGTACTTTTATTTCCAAAGACAACTTTTAATTAGCTGCTGAATAAATGTGGCAGATACAAGTTAGAGCCTTATGTCTGGCACCTCCACACGAGCGCCTGAATTTCTCCTGGCTGTGACCTGTGGCTTTGTTCCACTTGCACAGAATGTGGCAGTAAAGACCCACTGAGTCAGCAATCTCCAGTGTGACCCACAGGTAGAGCTAGGGCCCCTGGAGAAAAATGCAGAGGTTGGTTACTTTCCTATTAGTTGGCTTCACTAACTAATGACAGACTCACCTGTGAGTTCTTAGGATTTACTCCAGATTTTATAGATAAGTATTCTTAGAAAAAGATACTATGAAATGTAGGGCAGGGGTCATCACTATACAGTAAGTCCTTAATATATGCTTTCTCACTTCAGAGTGTGTGAATATGCAAAGAAAGGTAAAATGTATTGTGCTGCATTCCTCTGCTGATGGTTCTCTATTCCCTTTGTGTGGGAAACCTACCTGCAACAGAAAACTGGGAATATGGTACTAAGGAAAGGCACAGAGTACTGAGGCAGGGAAGGTGGAAAGGGACAGTCTTCAAGCCAGCTATTTCATTGTGGAACTGAATTGGATTTGTTTCTGCACTTGGAGTCAGAGAGTTATTGTCTAAGAAATGAGCATAGAAAAACTCTAGAAAGAGGGAGCTGAGGGTTGGGACTAGGAGAAAATAAGTCAGATGCTTTTCTCTGCCAGATTATATACTGTCTGCCATGTACTCAGAGTGCACAGGTGGAAGACCTAGTTCCTGCTTTCAGGGATCTCAGACTCAAGGGGAGAGGTGATAGCACACAAATAGGCCCTGATATCAGGGTATCAGCAGTGCTGGGATCCCTCCAGAGGAGACTCTGTTCCTTGCCTGTTCAGCTTCTCAGGGCTGTCAGCATTCCTCACCTTGTGACTGCTCATGCTCATCACAGCCTTGTGTTCACATAGCTTTCTGTGTGTCTATCTTTTCTCTTATAAGGTTACCTTGTGACTGAATTTAGGGCTCACAATAGTATTCCAGGATGATCTCAAGGTCCTTAATTATATCTGAAAAGACCATTTTTTCAAGTAAGGTCACACTTACAGTTCTGGAGTAGGCACTACACA